TAACGGCTCGGAGCATACAGAGAACTGTGCAGAAGTATGCGGTGCCGCTGGCCCCATTCATATGGGCCCATTTGGCTGGGAGCATGCATGGCAGTTGATTGAAGCTTGGTGTCGCACAGTTGGAACTGATTAAAGGTGAAACCTGGGCACCGTAACAACGTATGTCCTACCACAGGCTTTTCTTTGATCGGCATCGGCAGTGTAGAAGTTTACTCAAGTCTCCCATCCAAACAGTTGAAGACGGGTGGACACGCTTCTTGTTTAAGTGTCAGCAACTGCAGCTGCTTGGTTCCAAGCTCCCGTTGCATGCAGATCAAAATCTTGTCAAAGTCTCCCAATTTAACATGTTTAGGGCCTAGGGATTTGGACAGACGTGGCCAGAAGGCTTGACACAAGGCTTTCTTTGGGAAGATGGGAGCAATGGGATTGCAAGTTGCAGCTATCGCTTTGCAGATGCTTCTCGTGGAGGCCAATGTCATAGTTCACTTGGCTTGCTACCCACCTTTGACTTGCCGACATGCCAAAGCCAAGCTTGTTGTCGCTTGAAATGCTGCAGCCATACGCTTTACACAAGTACTAGCAGAGAACGAACACGGGCTTCTGATGGAAAACAATAATGCAATGCTATTGGAAGGAGGATTGTATTTATGTCTTGACGTTTTCTGGCCGTCCAAACAGGTTTTGTTTAACCAACACATGATACATGCCATGACGATGCCGCACATTCGGACCGTTGTGCTGGTTACTCCGTGGATCTGGAGTTGACCTCTACTCACCACCAACTCAGGCAAAAAAAAGAACACACTTCTTCAGGGAGCTTGTACCCACCAACTGCTGTTGTCTTGGGAGACCACCGAATACAACAAAAAGAAACCTGCAAAGGCTTGTGGACCCCTCCCATTCGCAGCCATGGCCCGACAGCTGATTTGTTGCTTAGTGCTGATGCTTTTAACTCCTGGAGTGATCGGTGCTGTGACGCTGGGCGCTTTTGGGGCTGATGACTTGGTGAAGCAGCTCCGGTCGTCCATCTTCGTCGAGACAGCGTTCTTAGAAGACCCGTGGCAAAGCCTGGTGCATTTCTGGTTTCTTTGTGCTCCACACGAAAGAGAGAGGGGGAGAGAAGTTGTTAGCCAATGCTAGCAACACTTGACACCAGGAGGAATGTTGTCAAGATGAAGATATATGACCCACGATACTGTTCCTTGATTGGTCATGTATCTGCATGCTGCACAACGCCTTATTTTTGATGTTCAAGATTGCCGCGACAATACCTGCAACTGTTCCCCTATGTCATTTTGGGTTCAAATAACTGGGCACGCACGGCGCTCTGTCGCGAAGCTAAGGAGCGCCCACCGGTGACGCGGTGTTCCTCCTTGGATGGTCCCAGTTGCCTTCACTTAATGTTGGATTCTCAGGTGTCCCTAGACGGTCCAGGTGTTATTCCAGACACTCGACGCCAAGTGGAACTCTTGGAGATCTCGGAGGATATAAAGAACTGGTGCGGACACCCTCCATCCTCACTGGTGGAGGAAACTAGTCCCCCCAAACAGGCCTCATGATTGTTGGAGAGAGGGTGACAGCCTCTTTTCGGGGTCTGTGTTTATGTGCATGTGAGTGCATGCTGGTGTTTGAAAGGAAAAGCTGTGTTTGTGAGCGATGGTGGGCTCGGAACGGGGTGCCTTTTCTCCATACCACGTGTCACCTTCTTGCACACGATGTGATTTATCATGCTCAGAGCATCTCGCTGAGGAGAGACTCCTTCACGACTTGGGAGCTGCAGAGGGAATGGACTTTGTGACCCCAGAGTGCCTGGGGTTGAGGAATTATAAAGCTGAGAAATGCTTTCCTCGGATCAAGGCCCTTTTTAGGAGGCTTACTGAAGGTCCTTTCATTATGTAATGATGTTTTTGATCCCCATTGCCACCAACAATCTAAAATGGGTGTGGTGAAGTTAAGCATGCAGTTGTGATTTTATATGACTCATTTAGTATAAGAAACACCTCCGGCCCAACTTAATGACCTATTATAACCCAGCATCAAAGGGTCTGAGCATGCTTAACCTCTGGATAGCAACGGGGATGGGTTTTGTGAAGCCTCAAAGTCGGTTCCGCACATCTGAGTACGGCACACATTTCTTGCTATGTTTTCCCTTCTCAAATGCTTTTGGCAAGCCCGGAGATTGATACCTTGATGGGTTGGTTTGTTCGGCGTGCGTGTCAAAAGCTGGGACTGGGTGCTTTTGCTTCCTCGCAAGGTACTTCACATTGGAAGAACTTGTACGCATGGGTCAGGCAACACAGAGCCGAAGCTCAGCTGAAGCCTTGCTGGTGGGAGACGAGGCGACCGGTCGCCGGGGCGCCGGAGGCAACACGACGTCGGAGCGGACGGAGCGTTTGCACCGCGCCAGGCCAAGGACTACTTGCTCAGTGGTCGGAACAAGACGTCTGTAGGCGGGTTAGAGCAAGAGATTTTTGGTCATTCAATGAGTTGGAGACAAGATGAAGAATCGATTGATGAGAGATCGTATGAGTCAGACAGTTTGACAAAATCTGAATGAAGCTTGTGAAGCCTTGACTCAGCTTAACTTACCACTTTTTACGATGTCCTGTAGTATCCTGTAGTCATTGAAACCGAACTTAGACGTTGAAGCCGCCCCCCGCAGTACTTGTTGCAGTAGAGAACCGCACAGCACCCAGCCGCGGACCAGCTTCCTGCACCGCGCAAAACCCCAGACCGACCCCCAAAACTCAACGGCAGGACTTCTGCACTTCGCTGGTGCCGCACTGGACCGGCGTTTGCCATTGACCTTCTCGCTTGGACTGCCCAAAGACCTGGTGGCCACTTGGGATGGCCGCTGGATCGCGCGTGATGGCCACTTGGGAACATTTAGAGTGGGAAAGTTACTGATTGGCATTGGAGTCAACATCTTCATACTGCAATATGCTTCTGATGATGTACCCAAAGAGGAACCCAACACACATCCAAACACTCTGTTCACATCTGTTCACCTGTGTTTGTCGTGTGGTTGACCATTTGTTCACCCACAGCCTAATTCGCTCAAGGTAGCACCAAGCATGTGGCCAGCCTGCCTTCTCCGGATGGCGAACTTCCCGTCTTGTCTCAGAACGCCGGTTTGGTTCGAAAGCCAGGCCAGGTGGCCCCTGGCCCCTGAGGCTGAGAAAGGTTTTGGACCTGTGCAATGAATGGTTCTGTCCCAAAAACCACAAGTGCCGCACTGCACTACGAAAGGGCCTTCAAGCGTTCCAATGCATATGCATATTGCTTCGTTGGATTGCTTCAAGTTCAAGTTCTTCAACTGCGAGAAAAAACACATCATGTGGGAGAGAATGGTGAAGGCTTCTTTTGGCCAGGTGGCGGAAGCCTGCAACTCTCAGTCTCAGCTGAGTTGGCAGGCCCGTGCCGGCTCGGGCTTTTGAAGTCTGCAGTCTTGCAACCACAGGACTCGAGATTTGCAACGATTGGAGCTTTGGAAATAAAGACCTTGAAAGCCTTAGTTGAATAAAGACCTTGCCACCAATTCCATTGTTTTGACGTGCATCACATGCATCACATGCCTTTCGAACGAACGCTAGGCTCTTTGGGATATCTCCGCTTCTCGCGACCGGTCACTGTGCGCTCCCTCTTCGTTCACTGGGTTGCAGATCGAAATGCTCCAAGGGCCATTGTGGCAGGTCGTTTGGGTCTGCAAAATATGTGGAACAGTTCCTCGGTCGATGTAGAAACACTCAACAATCCAAGACACACCATTGCTCTATATTGCTCTTGGAGATTTGGACGCTCACCTGACGACCGAAAAGGACCAGGACTTCTTCTTCGGGCTTTAGCTGGATAGCTCTTACGCTCTACTTTGCTGATCGATGCATTGGTGTCCCAGGCCATTTGGATCCTCAGCAATTGGAGTCCGTAGAGGGATGGGTTGACATTGCTGGAAACCCCTTGGCACAGGTGGATGAGATTTGGCAGCAAGCAGGTCGAATTATCAAACCTGAATTCATTTTTCTGGCAGCAGATGTTGTTCCACAGCCAAATTCCTCGTTTCGGCAGACTTTTGCCACACGCATGGTCCAGGGAAACACTTTGTTAATTGAAACGTTGGATTATGTTTGATTCAGTTTGTATACTTAATACTAATGTAATAGTAAGATGTAATAGAACTTAATATATACTAATAGATATTTGTATACTAATGTAATATAACTATATATTATATATATATCAACTTTCCAGGTCTCCCAGCCCGCGTGCTTTTTTGTTTCGCACCACTTCACCGGACCTTGGACCGTGTGTTGTTTGTGGACCTTGGACCCAGGACCTCCAAGAAGGACCTCCGTTTGTTTTCTTCAGTCTCTTAAGACGATCAGCACGCCTCCATCGGAAAAGGCTCCTGTTTTGCAAGGTGGGTCTAAGTGCCCATGTCAGGCTGCATGTCAGTGCCCATATCAACCTTCTGTTCTTGTGAGTGCATGTTGTTCCAGCCCTACAAGGAATTGGTCTTCATGGCCGCAAAGGGACTTCAGATTAGTGCTGTCCAGATTGCAAGCACTGAAGGAACAGAGGAAGAGGAGCGATTTGACTGCTTTGTTTTGAGACCTCGAGGATGGAATCCATGAGCCCATGGACCCTCTTCAGAGGATTGTCGCCTTCGTTTCAAACAGAAATCATCAGACATTCGACGGTGGAGGTTTTGCAGTTTTTCATGCAATTCAGTAGATGACGCAACCATCCTGGATGATGCATTCACAGAAAGTTCAGGGTTGGCAACTATGAGCGATTGATTCCAGGAGCGAACCGTCCTGATGCTACAGCCCTTTGAGTCTCCAACTCAACAGAATGAGACGGATGAGAGCCAGCCGCAGCCGCAGCCACATTTCATCGCCTCGTTGCAGAGGAGGGGAGACAAACGGAAATTGGAGCCGACATTGTGGACATCTCAGCAGGGTGGCTTTTTTTTCGCTCCTTCCTTCTCCTTTGACGTACAGAAGTAGGATCTTCTATAGGTACAAAACTGCTCGTGGACTTGATGCCGATTTCGGTGCGTTGGTGGATACGATTCACCCGGAAAAAACGCACCAAATAAACCATCAACAATGGTCCAATAGACTTTTTGCTTGTTTATCCAACAATTCATATCCAATTCTCCGACCATTTGCTTGTTTATCCAACAATCGGAAAAAAAGAACACCAAGCACAGACCAAAAGCAGATGCGTGGGGCCCGCGTCTCCGAAGTCAACCCGCTCCGGCCTGGGACGGGTCCGCCAGGCTGAGAGCGGATGCTGCACCCTTCGTCGCCACGTTGCAAGAGGCGCGGGGGTAGAAACCCACGGGCTGAAGAGTGGGACGTTTTGGGCAGAAGCTGGCTGAAGCTGGCTGAAGCAGATAACATGGGCTTGCAAGTGGAATGACTTCAAGCAGCACGCGATGGTTGGCAAAGCCGGTGAAGCAAGTTATCAGGTCAAGAACTAATTGCGGCAGCATGAAGAAGCACCACCTCTAGCGCAACCGCCCCCAGATCTGTATATTATCAGAGTAAGGTCAGGTTCCAATCTTCATTCGCTCACTTCAGGTGGTCGACCACAATCTGCGGCTGCGTATGCTTGCACCTTCGTGGCCAAGCTTAATTATAGCGAGAGGAGATGTTGAACCACCAACATGACAAATATATTGCAAGCAATATGAAGATGCGCCTTTTCCGCCTTTCTTTCTACTTTTACAGTGTTTTATCGGTCGTGTTTTACCCCAAGAGATTGTCACTGGTGCCTGTCAGTTCCATGCATTTGACCAACATGTCCTGCAGGTTTCGCTCAACTGAGCACACTCTAAGAGCCTTTTGACATCCTGCACATGACAGCTTCGACTGCCCAGGAGAGCTCTTGGAGGGGTGCGGGGCGACCAGATACCTGGCTTGTTGCTCAGCGGCAGCCTGAGCATGCTTGGAGGAGCCCAAAATTGATCCAGAGCAGCTGAATTCGGCAGAATGTCTTGGCTTCAGCCTTTACTTTCAATAGACTATATAGCACTGGTCTTGCCTTTGTCGAGACCTTGTAGACTGAGGCTTTCGATACCCTCCTCTGACAATGGAGCTCGGCTGACAGAGGAAGCACTGAGCTTCAAATTGGCCGCGTCGCAAAACGAAGTCCTGTCGCTTGGCAGCAAGTGCCGCGCGACAACAAGAAGTGGGTAGGTTCGACAACTGGCAGCTAGGTGGAGTCTTACTTTCCTGCCCAAACACGCGATTCATTGAAATTTGTCAAATGTGGCTTTAGGGTCATCCATGACAAGCTTTTGTCCCACTAGTTTTATACTAGGTATGTAATGTGTACATATATATACAGTATATATATATGCATGCAATTTTGATAAAATGACCCATGGCAAGATTCGTTTTTATGTAGCAACTGAGATCAAACGGGGGTTGGACAGGAAACTCATGTGCACCGCGACCGTTGTTCTCGGAGCTGGTGACCGGAAACAGGCCACGCAAAATGAACAGGGCAAGAGATGCCAATATCCATGGAATTCAAGGCAGAAGTGTCAGATTCTCCAAGAGAGAAGTGTATACGTCCTATCTATTTGTCAATGTTCAGACATGTTCCGGAAATTCAGATGTCTTCTGTAGCTGTTTTGCTGTCTACCCCGTGGATGCTCAGCAGATTTTCTAAGGTGTCGCCGCTCCGTCGCTAACCCTAATGTCAGAACCAGACGTACATTTCAGAACAATTTGAGCACCTCGAAGCAGGTTGAGCAATAGAAGAAGGCTGAGCACAAAATACTCAAACACCGTGGAAGGCGGTGAACTGAACACGACTGAAGAGAGTGACGACCGAAGAAAAGTGAGGAATGTGACGTGAGCAAAAACAGCGCTGTTACTGTATACGACTGAAGACGTTGAGCAAAGGCTACAGAGCACAACCGAAGACGGTGAGCCTTGCAGGCCTGTGTGATGGTGAAAGTTCTCCGGGGGCCGGTGATAGCTATGGGCCGTTGATGGAGTGTGTGGCAAATGGTGCTGGGATGGACATGATACTGGTGATGACATTGTTGATTTTCACACGCATGACAAATGTTCGCCGTGACAGTTGCAAACATCACCATCGTCATCACCGACGTCATGTCCATCATCGCATCGCCAACATCATCCAAGTCATTTCTACCAACATGTGTTCCATCATCACACTGCCAACGTCATCACCATCACCATCACCATCATCATCATCACGCTTAGGTGCAACCGTGTGCGTACCGGTGGATTGTGACTGTGCACGGGCGCCCAACGAAAACATCTCGCATGGCGAACGCACAGGTGCTTTAACTGCAGAGGAGAAAGGGTTTGCAAGGCCAGGATGGTCTTTAGCACGCAACATCTTCTCCTAACCTTGGACGGCGTTTAGGTGACAAGAGGCCTGCGTCAAACACCTGACATCGCGTGGCTGGGCTGGAAGTGTGTATCTTGCTGTGTGTTGCGGCTTCATTGCAGCAGTTTGATTGAGATGGGCTGCGTGTAGCAGCTCTCAGTCTACGTCTTGTTGGGTCGTCCTCCAGACCTAGATGCCCTCTTGCTACGACGATTTTTGACTGAGATGCCCTGGAAGGGTTCCAGTTGCTACGCGAAACTATCTTGTTCCCCCTCCTCCAGCCCACCCACTGTACGACTTTGGGGCTTGCCAAATTACGTATGACCACAGCCTTGAGCTTGCCAGCGCTCAACATCGTCCTGGCAACCCTTTCAGCGGTTTAGAGCGCAAGTGATCCTGTGTCGCGCAAATATCATCCAAGCCTGTGGTGCGTAAGGCATCCCCGGGACATCAATTGGATACCGAAGGTTTTTGGGAAACTCTGTTTTCTTTGTCAGTTGTAGAAGTTGTAGCTGGTTAGGGGCGATGTGACTTGGATTGGTCCAAGGTTTTCTCGCGGTTTCCTCACAGACATTGCCGCGAACGATGCCAGAAATATGATTGCTGGCTTCTCCAAAGTGCCTGAAGGAGCGACGGGGCGTGCGGGAAAACCAGCGTGTGTTTTCAATGCGACAGACGGAAGTGGCATTTTCAAGATCCTTTGAGTGCCCATCAGGCTTTTAGAGAAAGGAGGATCGGCAAGTAAGTATATTGCGAACAATGCACGTCCAAGATTACGATATTGTCGAGAAACGACCGCGAAAAGCAGTTGTGACGGAGCCTCCCAAGTCTGTCGGGGTCCGCCCACCCTTTTTGCTACAGCTGTTTGAGCAATAGCCATGTGGAGATTGCTGTCTTTTGGTGTGCCATGGTCTCCAGGTGTTTTGCCCGAAGATCTGCGTCGGCAGCTGACCACAGAATCGCCCGAGCTGGCAGAGACAGTGCTGCAGCACGTGCGCAGGGGTGGATGGAAACGCAGCACCCCCTCGACCTTGCCGCAGGAGGGTGACCTAGCTGAAAATCTAAGAGGATCTAAAAGGGGTGTGTGATTTGGAATAAAGAGACCTTGTGACCAACTGGTTTCTAGAGGCGATGTCTTCTTCCAGCGTTTTCTGAGTTTGATTCAAGTAATCAAAGGTAGCTGGTGAGTTCTCAGGTTTTGTCGCAAGGAACAGGATGTCGGCGGTTTTAGGCACGAGAGGTAAAGACGTTGAATTCCAGACAGCTAGACATACCTGTGCGTATGCAACGCCGACGGCAATGACGTTGACCGGCAAAACGTCTCTTGGTCTCTTGGCCCCGAAGCAAAGGTTCAGAGGATGCGGTTGCTTGGCCTGCTGTTGGGGACCGGCATTTTTGCAGACTGAACATTTGAGTAGTTGCCTAATTCTATCATGCATGTTTGGTTTCAAAGGGCCTTTCAGGACTACAGATTCTTAGGCAGATATTTGTTCGGTTCTTGCAAGATGACAATGACAGACAGGTACTGTAGAGACTGCATGTATGAATCGGAGTATCTGAGCCATTGCCTTCAGGTGAAGAAGTACATGACTGCCAAGCGCCAGCAGATGCAGTTAGATTTGTTGGCAGCGGCCCTGATTTACATTTCGCACAATTCTGGGCTTGGATTTTGAGACGTTCCATGAATTCATGGAGCGCGGTTTGTGCTGGATATCGGCGCATCTCATGGCCAGTGTTTGAACTCCCGGCCTTGCGGGTCGACTTAGGGTCGACAGACACTATCCAAGAGTAGCACCGGTGCTGTGGCCTCCGCCACACTGCAACTTGTACAGCCGTTGCACCAGCGTTGATTTTTTTTGGGTTGCATGGAATTTCAGCCAGTGGTTTAGCGCCTGAGTACAGTGTTTCAGGTGGGTTTTTGACCACGGATTGTTTTCAGTATGTCGCAATGATTTGTACTGTGATTGTAGTAGCTGATGGATTGTTTGGGGTTGTACCTGCAATGATGTGTTTTTACATATTTTTATATACATCAGAAACAGAAACAGCAATGCAATCACCAGTATGGAAGGAGTACCAGAACGGAAGGATAAGCAGTTACACTCAAAAGCAATGCGGTTTTCTCCTTCAGGTGCCTGGGTGCCTCTAAACAAGCGAAAGCCCAAAAACCAAAGACCACCGCAACGTGCCTCTCGTTGCGGGCGGAGCTGCATGTGCCAGAAAAGTCCGAAAGCGGTTGTATTCAGTTGAACAGAGTTCACCAGGTGCTCTGTAGGCTCTTTGTTGTTGTAGTGCCTTATCCCGAATGAATACCCTCTTCTGGAACCTGACTTGACTTGATATGTTTGAAGTCCGCATCCTTGAGGAGTGATACGGGTGCTTGTTGCCACTTGTTGCCTCAGAAAATCAGAGAGCAGGCAACCTGCGACTGTGTTGACAGATACTCAAGCTGTAGTCATGGAGTCATGGAGGGGAGCCATCCTTCAACGTATAATAGAACTATTACATCGATATAAAATATGTCGATTGAGAGATTTGGTTGTGAGGCAAATGTGGGTTTTGCTGGCTGCGTGGCTGCAGCCGTCAGAAATCAGGTGCACATGTTCGTCGAAAGCAGTCTCTGCAAGCAATAACGTTTCTTCTTGACTTGGATGATTCTCTTGCAATGGCAAGTTAATATTAACGACATGAAACACCTCCACTTACTCAAAACTGGGGTGATTGGAGCTGTAGTGTCTTGTGCTTCCGCTTGTGGAGGTCAGTCAGCTCTTTTTTGCCACCGAGGAGTACCAGGCAAAAACTCAGTCAACTCTTCTTCTCCAAGGAAGAACATATGGATCAACGCACCAGTGCGGGATGAACGCACTCCAGTCACCCGGAAATTGGATGAATGAACCCTAAACTCTTGCACCTAATATATGCTGTGCGGAGGGAAAGATATCCCTGAATGTACGGTTCGCGCCTGGGGTGCTTCCTTTTGATGGAAGGTAAGATGATTTCTCGCATTGGCCATGAGACGCACCATCCGTAGGATGTGGTGATGTCGCCTTTGGTGCTGCCCTTTGAACTGGTGCCTCACTTACTGTGCTCAGCTTCGACATGCTTAGACCTTTGATCAGTCATGTCTACACGCGGAAATTCATCGGTGCGCCGTGGACCCGAACGACGGTGAACGACCCGTGTTGGTTTCGACTGCTTGGCCAAGTCAAGCGGCCGATGTGAGTCTAAGGTGGTGGCTGGACTTCTTTGGTCATTGGCAGTGGTTTTGCTGTTGGGTGGGGCTTCAGCAGCCACTTCGTTCGCAACCAGCCGAAGTCCGATTGGTCGTTGAAGCATGAAGCGGTACACGGTGATCCAAACCGGATCCACCGAGCCAAGGTCGCAGTGTGGGACTGCGCGCAGTTGATCAAGACCAAACGAATTCAGCGACTCGGCAGGTGGATCGCAGGGAGGCGAGAAAGCCCACACCGCCAGGGAGGCACTCTGTAGATGACCTAATACCGGTGGACGTGTACCCAGGTTTGTCAGGTTTGGGTTACAAATAGTGAGGGCTTTCTGCCCAAATTTGGTCTGGAGAAGTACAAGGGCCGTGCTGGTATCGGCAGGAGATGTGGTTCTTTCGAATTCCGGAGAGACCGGAGGTCTCCGACGTGTTCCGAACCAAGAAGCACAGTTGAATCACTAACTGCCCAGAGCCCACGTAGACCGAGTTTGCACATGTTTGAACCATCGAAATGCAAGGTGGCACCGGCAGAAGGGGTTAGAAGACGCCGCTGCGGCATGTGAGCCAAGCAAGGCCAGCAGAGTTGCATCGACTGAAGTTGTACTGTGAACAGAAGGCTCTTTTGGGTATTATCAAGTAAATTGGATAGAGATGGATAGAGTCCTTGTTTTGACACTTTCGCCCCATCTGTGTAAGGACACCTCGTAACCATCACATGACACATCGGACAACGCGGCGGAGATTCGGATCGTCGCGTCGCGTGGTCGGTGAGATGGGGACGTCCTGTGATGCGCTCTGGCCACACATGTCACACCTGAAGGACTCCGATGCTTTGGTGAAGGACCTGTCGCAAGTTGAAGGCGCGTTGGCCGGCACCAAACGGGAGTGCACCCTGGTGAACATGAGAAGAGTAGTGACTGAGCTTGTACTGCCTTGCGTTTCAAAGAGATTTCATCATCATTTTGCTTATATATATAGTTGTATTTGATTGTGCAACAGGAAGATTCAGTGGTTGATGGTTCAGGCATATGGCTAAAAGCTGATGGGTGCACTTGAGTATTTGGGCCGTTTCACCTTGACACTGGAGCCCCCCACGATAAGACGAATATCTTCGGGGTTCTGTGGAGATGCCCCTTGGTGCAACCAATGAAATCCATGTCAAGAACTGGTGGCGTGCAAAGCAGAAGCCCCAAACTTAATTGTTCCATGCAAATGTCTTTGGCAGTTTCATCAGTTTCATCGAGATTATCTTACAATTATATACGTATCGTTTCAACATAAGGGGATTCTCGCGCTTCCCAACCGATCAAATTGGCAGTTTGATTGCAGGGCCCGCTGACTGTTCCGTAGAAGCGGAGAAGCCAGTGACAGTTGAGGACAGGGGTTGAGATTGGCGGTTGGGGCTGTACTAGTAGGTTGAGAAAGGCTGGGGACGGGGTGGCGGTGGGCAGTTGTACGTGGCAAATGGATTTTATCCACGGACATCCAGCATCTTTGAAGCCTGGTGGGGTTGCGAAAAGGTGGAGGAATGGGTGACTGCATGTTTTTAAATGGATCTTTACATGTATTTTTGTAGACAATAAAAATCTATACGTTGCGAGAAAGGCACATCACATTCATGCAAAGTTCGCAGCTGCCAGGACTTGCAGCTGCGCATGGAGGAGCTCCAAGCGAAGCATCAGGAAGAGTTGCGAGAGAAGGACCTGAAGTTGGAGGCGCCAAGACTGAGCTGAGCTGATGTCCCGCATGGAAGACTGATGGCCATCAATGACCAACATAAATCGTAGTACTTAGACCATCCCGTGAGTAGCTGGAAGATACGTGCGGTTAGACCTTCCAGAACCTGAGATTAGACCTTCCATGGCAACGGGATGCCGTGCTGTCATCATACAGAGCTGCTTTGTGCTGTTATGTATTGGTGCTTCCAAAAGACAAGCTTCAGTCAATGGCAGAGGCTGCGTCTCCCATCGCACAAGGGATTGCTCAAAAAACCGCATGAGGCCATCCCTTTGGCCATTCTTACCACTGTTTTGCTTGGGAGCATCGAGTATTCTTGATATGATCGGTTTCGGATGTTTCAGTCCCTCAAGGAGATGCAGAAAGAGTTAGAGGAAAAGAAGGCTGAGGGCCTTGAACTTTGGGAAGATGCAAAGAAGTTTGGATCCCAGATGTGACACGTTTGGATCCTGATGTATGCTACGCAACATGCAGGCGTTCCTTTCTGTGGTCCATCCAAGTGTTGTCCTTGAGAAGCAGGGAGGGAGTTGGGTGTGAAGATTGACGCAGCTTTCTCGAAGCATTGAGACTTTGACAGCCTTCAACTTCTGGAAATCCCGAATAATAAGTGAGTAGCCTTCGACTTGGATTGATTCATATTCAGGCGGTCGCCGGTCTGCGTGCGACACGTGGAGTTGATTCTGATTGAGGTGTTCATTTGCCGTCCTGAAACCGAAGGGTCGTGCCCTTTCGCTGAGGCAGAGGAGGGAAGCGAACCGCAGCTCGGCCAAACAGTTGACCCCGGGGACGAACAGGGACGAACTATGAAGCACGCACATCATTCAACCTCACCAGCCCAGCCAGGAAGCAAAAACCGTTTAGCAAAACTGAAAGATCAACGATGTGGCTCGCATGTGTTCACGGTTGTGGCGGTGAGGCTTACAATCCTTTGCCATTTCAGCGACAAACTCGCTGAGAAAGATGCAGCGGGAGGTGAGCTGAAACTGAATTTCCGAATGCATCACTGACTTCGCAAAAGGCTTTGTTGTGTTTTTTAGCTACTGATGTATGCATTTAACATGCTCATGAACGCTCAGGGTCATCACGATCATGAATCTCGCCAGAAAGGATGGAACCTGGAACGTGTGGTGAGCACTAGTGTGGTATGACGTGGTATGACATCTTTTTACTGACACAGAAACAGGTGTCCAATGCCTTTTCACATATTTTCACAGTATGTATTAAGATAGCATAAAATAGCACATGTACGAAGTTATATAGTAACATAGTAACCATGATTGTGCAGCAGCTAGGAGCAGTTTCCACATGCAATATAGCCCTCCAAGCCCATGTACAGTACTTTTCTAAGAGTTACACTCCAACTGCTTCAGCAGGATTGGCCAAATCAGTGGTCAAAGCAAGTGGTCACTTTGACTTAGCCATTGAACGGACAAGTTTAACTGACATGTTCCATCCCTGAACATAACTTTGAAGCGCAGATTCACGAGAGTCGTATGTTCGGTTTTGTGCGTATTTTTTGCGAGGTCAACCGGCTCCAGAAAGTCATTGCCCAGCAGAAAACGAAGTATACAGAGCTCCAGGAAAGCCAGCGAGCTCGACGGGAGGCTGCACAGCACCGGAGAGTGTGTTTAACTTTGCACGGAGAGCCTTAACTTAGCACGTCGTCAAGTGGGTGTTCTTCACTTGTACTTTGCTGATTTTGCAGTTGGCTGTCCTGTACATTTTGTAACTCAGATCCTGGATGAACTCATATCCAGTTGACATGTTTGGCTTTGCGCATTCGTTCCGTTCCGTCGCAACACCGCGGGGTTTCGCCACCGAGAGCAGGGGCTGCTGCTACGGGAGCTGGATCTCAGCAACCGAGAGGCCGAAGTCTCCCAACTGGCCCAAGCAGAGCAGGAGAGCCGAACGGCTGGAGGTGTCCATCATCTTCTGCGGGTGCCATCAAAATGCAGGGTTGACTCAACAACCCATGAAACATGTCTGATTTGGGGGGTCTCCCCAAGTTGAAATTTGCCCATGGATGCCCATGGTGTTTTGCCCCCTTCGACCGAAAGAATTCTGCCAAGGAATTCAATAATTTCTGGACACCTATTGGTGACCAAGACCAACACAGATCCGATTTGAACCACACCGCCACAACAACGGTCCTTCGCGTGACACACCGCTTCACACACTTCGTCAGTCCGAGGTCCGAGGTCCGCGTTCGGGGCCGCGACGCGCAGGAAGAGTTGGCGCAGCTCCGCGAGTGGCTGTCCGCGCCGAGCTCCGGCGCCAAAGACGAGCACCGGCAGATTGCGGGACTGCGTGGCTCGGCGTCCGCCCCGCACGGCGTATACAGTGCCGCCACCAGATCGGCGGCAGTCCAATGGGCCCAATTAGGTTGAGAGAACCAGTCAAGTTGGAGGGTTTGTTGAGGAGTTTTGTTTTTCGGCCTCAACTGGAAGTTCATGTTGAAACAAAACTTCCATTCTGATATGATGTGATACGTCGTGAGATGTGATATGTCATGCTTTGTCAGGCTCTGTCTACCACGTTCTGCAGTTGTTCTCTTTTTGCCGGCCTGGCCTTTTCCTCTCTACGAAGCGTTTGGTTGAAACCTACGGTTGACGGTTAGTTACCTTGACGAGTGCAAAGGAATTTCATCCTCTCAACTACCCTCATTTGTGTGATGCATCTCAAGAGGGTCTCGATGCATCTCGATACTATTCCTGTGCTTGACGAACGCGTCAGAGGTGACGAAGTGAAGGAGTGGAAGTCCACCTACAAGAAAGACAAGGCTGCGGAATGCTGTGAATAGCTTTGTCATGATGATACAATGAGCATGAAGAGCGAATGCCCACATTGTTGCGGAATTGGCTTCACGAACCAACTTGAGCAGTTTTGAGCATGTCGGTTGCACCATGTTAGACTGTTAGACCATGTTGCACCTTTCGTAACAGCTTGCACTTGTGGGGCAACTGAGTCACATGATGCGGTTGTCAACTCTGTAAGCAAATTGAGGTTCAGTGGCAGTGGACACACAACATGTTGATACCCAGTTCTAAGTTTGTCAACATATTATATCTTTGCGCATCGCATTGGGTTGTGCTGCCAAAAGAAAACATATCCGGAGGCAAGTTGGATGCGTGCTATTTGTGAGCTGACAAAGCAGCGAGATCAACATGTAGCACGAGCAGATGTCCTTGCCAAACAGCTACTGGGTGTTGCTATTTAGTAGGATGCCTTTTTTCAGCTGAACGATTTTGAAAGGATCGTCATCCTCGAGATCAGAATGCATCAGAGAGAAAAGCTCACTGTTGATCTATGTTGCTAGAATTCACAGATGCTGGATGCTGGGTTCTGTGCAGCTTCTACTTCAATCAACCCCCAGCTGTTGGCACACCGACCACAGCAGACAAGAACCGACATGTGCACAGAACATCAGCCGTCCGTGACGAACCGAGGTTGGGGCAATGGCGTGAGATTTTTCAGGAGACAGATCTCTTGGAACTGGAGCACCAGGACTGGAGCGCCAGGAACATTCAGGAACGCCAGACCTCGCGCCCGGTGGAATTCGCGTTATTCTTTTTTGGGCGTTGCGGCGTTTTGCGGCTGTGTCACACGTTTCGCTGTTTCTCTTGTTGTTTGTGTCTTTTTTTGTGGATGTTTTTGGACTGCATGCACGCACATTCAGGGACATACATAGCTTAGCCGACATTAGCCGACATAGGCACATGGTAGGAAGTTCAGTCCATATGAGAGCGATTCACGCCCGCTCCAACCAACATGAACGTGAACAAACTTGGTTTGTAGCGTCGCGGGGAGTTGGGACACGGATTCTGCCCGAAGGATTGGGAGCAGGATGAGCTTGGCACCAAGCAGGATGAGCACCTTGGATGAGCCATTGAACATGAGCTCCGGCCATTGTGTTCATCATCAGCTGTCATTGAACAGGCAGACCATTTGAAGCATCATGAACCATCATGAAACACCTAGCTGATAATGGCATTAGGCAAGAGGCTTGGGCGTTGTTGCAGACTCGAGACAATCATACCTTGGTGAACACGCATAACACAGGTCCAAATTGAACCGAATCAACCTAGGGGTGCGTGAGAAACGCTTCCATGCCAGCAAATGCGGAAAAAGTGACTCTATGATACTGTATGTGTACGCCGTACGCTGTACGCGTGTCTCTCCTTAGGCCTTAGGTTTTTTCTTCTCCACCCGTCTCTCCCATCTCCGTGTGGTCGCTCCACACCAGGTCCTGCCAGAACTCTCCGCAGGTTGGGAGCCGATCCACAGAGTTTGGGTCGGCGACTTTCGGTGCACCTGGTAGGAGCGCCGGAGACCAAACAAAGAAGGTTTTGCAGCAGGATTGGCCCAACTTCTTGAAATTCAAGGTGTTTTTCATCGTGTTGCGGAATTAATCCATGGATATCATACAATTATATTATACATGACCATATATGACCTATATACAGGTCATACATGGGTGAACTGGGGGGATTGCAGGCTTCGGTCCATATTCTCTGACCATGTTGGAGATCGATTCTCTGGAAGTCACAGACCAAAAGAGCTAGAACATTCATAGAACATTGAATTGACATAATATCTTTGGATGCTTCCCGCATGGTTTTTCCCGCTAGACAGGTTGCCACCTTTGCTCCTCCTTGGGCCCACCATGCCGCTTTGAAGGGCCTACCCTGCACCCTCGCCCGCCTTCAGCCGGTCGGACACAAGCCGACCGGTCGCTTCCGCGACGTCGTCTCTCGGTCGCCAGGTCTTTTACATTTCATCGCCTCGGAGCGAGGCCCCGACGTCGCAGCGAGGGGTGAACGTTCACCCGCCGGTCGATCCCGTTCGAGAACGGTCCGGGTCCGATCCGGGAGTCCGGGCAGAAACGGTGCCATGGAGGATTCGTGTCATGTCGCGTTTGGTCAATTTGGTTGACCATGCTGCTAGAGGACCGTTCCTCCTCAAACATACTATACAACATACTACAACTGCATGGACACGTCCCTGTTGACGCGCGTTGAATCGACCTCGCGGGCACGAGTCAGGCACGATCCAGCAGTGATTAGGGCTCTTGACCGGATTTCTGAGCTGTGACAATTGGTCCACCCATTTGCGGAAGAACATCTCTTACTTGGTTCTACTTGAGTGACTGTCTCTGAACCGGTCGTAGAGTCGGAGATTGGGTTTACAGTATAGTATCTATAGAGTATAGACTCTTGCGATTCCAATGGGATTGAATCTAGATCTCAGAGCATTTTTTCAATATGCTTTGGTGTTGATAGTGAATAGTCTTGGAGCCAGTCGAAACTGGGCTTCACCTTGCACCTTTGCGGCTCCATTTGCTGCGAGTCATTGATGGCACTTGGTAAATGCTGTTCAGAATCCCAACGCCTGTGCAGTGGGTAGCTACTCTGCCTGTGGCGGCCAAAAAGTATACTGCTACTCGCGGCGTTCAGCACTCATTGCTGAAAGGGAGCTCGTGATGAATTGTCCACACAAAGCTGAACCTGAACCTTGTGACACAAACCGCACGCATCCTTGAAGTATTCTGGAACTGTCTTGAAGGGTGAGGCTGCTGGGCTAAAATTAGTATTGATGCAAAGCTACACTGGGACAGACTCACCAAACCCCTACCACGATTCATCCAGGAGTGAAAGCCTTGTGTGGACGCGTCCTTGCTTCTCCGGACCACACAGTTTCAGGTCCTTCCCCATGTTTCACAGAAGCTCTGTGGCCTCTGCCACAGCCTGAACTACAGTAGATGTGACTACCACAGCCACAAGTTGTTTCGCGAGACATCGGAGGAGAAACCGGCAGCCGATGTCATGCCTATTCAAGATCTCAGCTCGGAGGGATCAGGGCGGCTCTGAGTGTATTCATCATTCCAAAACAGCCATCTACAGCCCATTGGTGTATCCGCATTTCGTGCATCAACCGTTGGATGCCGGGCACCGCCTTCCCAGTGTTCCCCGGCTCAGCGGTGGCGGTTCCGGCCAGGCCCAAAGCCGACCAGTGCAGCGCAGGGCCTAACTGGCTGCACCGTCGGCCAGTTAGGCACGGCTGCGTCTGAAGTGAGATTCAAGGGTTTTCTGGTCCATTCTGGCACAATGAGTTTGTTGGAGCGATTCACAGTAATCGAGCTGCAAAAGGCAGAGTTCAGCCGTATTGACCTGCATGCAGCATGCAGTCTTTTTCCGTCAGCTGCTGGACCAGATTGCGATGAATGTACAAAATGATCTTTTGCGCAAAGGCTCAAAGGCTGTGAAACAGCAGAGGCTGCGCCACTGCATGACCTTGATGCTTTTTCCTTCGGAGGCAATCACAACCACTACGAGGCATTGTTCTGCTTTGTTTGGCATGTATTACTCATCATGAAATCCTCCACCACCTGATATGGAAACCTTTCCAGTTTCCTCGGAATTCGCCCCCCTTGCGGTGGCCGGTTGACGTGGCCGCGGCCGTTTTTTTGCCGAGGAAAAAAACACGGGAGAACGCTGGTAAGACCCCCACGCGCAGACGGAACATGTCACTGCGGTGCGGCAGGTGTCGTGAAAACCACTTGATTTGGGCTGTGGATGCCGGTGAATCAGTGCGCCCTTTGGGCTCAAACACAGAACATCAGACAAAGGTGATAGAACCTTTGAAAGCAATGCAAAAATGCATTTTATTTGCCTTTAAGACTTCGAGCATTTGCTCCTGGGGAGAACTTGAATGGGCATGCAGAACTGAGGCTTTAAGTAGGAACCACAAAGGGACAGCTCGAATACTAAGTCATCTTACACTTAGCAGACAGCCCTGATAGTGATTGAGGACAGTTCTCCAATAATAGGAAAGGTTTTACTTCTTCGTTTGCTCGTCGGCATTACCTGTAGTTGTTCAGGAATGGCTGCCTTCAGCGATGTCGGGGCAGTTTGTTCAGTGCCGTCATGTGGTCAACAGGCCCTGATTTTGTGATTTTAAGAGCCAGATTGAGAGGCGAACTCTTTTTGGAACGGGGCCTGATTGTTCTGCTATTTGTGGTCCATCAGCGTTCTTATGGTCATACCGTTTCATGAATCATGCAGACGTCTGCAGTCATCGTCCAGTAATGCGGACTGAAAGACGGACAGGACACGCGGACTGAAAGACTTCGCGCAGGATTTCTTGCCCACGACATGCTTCGCCTGCAAACGCCCATTCTGCACTGCTCTGAGACAAACTTGAGGTTCTTGTTATATATCCACCAGAGCAGTTGCCTGAACAACGAAGCGTGTACATTTGTGATGCCAAGTTGTGTTGTAGAATTGGTTGAAGGGAAAAGCTATAGACCATGCAGGAATATGCAGGAATCAGGAAACCCATAGTTTTGGGGTTTACAGCCATGGTTCCCTTAATCCAATAATCCATTGAAGGTTGTCTCACCCAAACTTGGTTTAGGAGGGTGTGTGCAAAGGATAGGGCCTAGCAAAGGCAAGAGGTTGTTTTGCCTAGTTTGCCTGCTGTAGTGGAACTTTCAGCTGATTCTTCTTCATCACGTTCTTCCGTTGCCCTTTCAAGCCTAGCAGTTCACGTGGAATATGTCTTATCCTGGTTTATATCTGTTTCATTCTGTTTCGCTTTCCATCCGGGCTGGTGTGCAAACCGTAACACTACCCATGCTCGTGTCCCTGTCGCATCTTGTGCCACTACCGAGCCACACGCTCTGCGGCAGCCAGTCACGTCGCCCAGGCAAGGACCACTACCGTGCAGAGCTGCACGGCTGTGAAGCGTCGAGCGAGTCGGTGCTGCTGGAGGCCGGACCGTCCGTTTCATGTCTCGCGTTGGACCGGGGTGGGCGTGTGGGCGCTTCGTGGTGCGCGGGTTTCAGTTTCGGGGCGAATCTTTTTGTAAAGACTGTTTGTCGTTTTTTGGCCAGACATGCCTGTAATTAGGCGTTGGTGCTTGCAACTTGGAACGGTCATGCTTGGATCATCAAAGGAATTTTGTTCAGAGGCTTTTGGTGGCTTTTGATTGAGATACTATAGTACAGACAATTACAGACATGACAGTTTTGCGTGCGAACAGGACATGAAAAGGACATGTGATAAATGTGTATTGATTGTACGTCTTTGAAAGTAAGGGAGCGCAGCTGGCTTTCACAGAGTCAAGTCAATGCGCTTGAGAGCCTAACGGCTGCCGCGGGGATTTGTTGCTTCCGCGCGCACTGTTTCATGCAGAGCAGAAAGAAAGATAAAGCCTATACAAGCCATGGCCTCCAACCTACTAGCGATGGCCTCCAACCTACAACCACATGATGTCTAGTCTAGAGTCTAGACTACACAATGAGGAGAGATGTACGACGCATAATTTTGTAAGAGAAACATACAGGACAGTAGAGTTTCTGGAGAACTCATTTCTCCGCAATGCGTGCACTTCGCCACGTCACTAATCACCACACATCACATCAGCTTCACATTCCATACCCTTCCCCACGTCTCCAAGCACCATAAATCACATGACCAACAATACAGTAACACCTCAGTCCTCACTACAATCCATCACGCCACACAAATCACCACAGACCGCACCACACCGCATCACAAATGGTCAGAGATCACATCACCTTGCAATTCACAGGAGTTTCCACAGCTTGGACAGGCGCTTCGGCACCACTCCAGCTCTGGAGGTACATACAGATCCACATAATTACCAGTATTTACAGATATTTACAGAGACTTAGAAGTGGGCAGAATGACCGGATTGTGGACCTGATTTGATTGACTTGTCAATGCAAAGACCTGACATCCACTGAGCACCGCGTGAAAAGAACGCGCAGGTCCCGAGCCCGAAACGCACGAGCGGCGCGTCGTGTGCTGCGTGGGGGGCCCAAGAGTGCAATAAAAAGCCAAGAACACATGTGAACAAGTGCCTGGGTGCCTGGGTAGTGCCATGTAGCAGCAGTGAGTGATGGGTGCCATTGGAGTAAGGCCAGGGTGCAAGGAGCAAATCAGCGTGGGGTGCCAAGATCGTTGAAGCATGTTGCAGCTTTTGAAGACCATTGGGATTCCGAAGAGCTGCGGCAAGTGCGTTGTTTGTTGCATTTGGCTTTTTGCGAGTCATGTGACTGTGAGTCATGACTTTGTATTCATGGGGTGAGTGTTCACAACGACATCTCAAGCCGAGCCAGTCTGAAGTTGGAGCATCTGCACCGCTTACATATATCATCGCTAACAAAGCCAACAGACTTTATCAGAGCTTACCGCTTACCCCCAAAACGTGTAATTGCAAAGGAAGGCCTACTGGTCTGACCAAGACATACCTACTCGGTCTCTAACCTACTAAAAAAGACACCCGTGTGACTGCGTCCCAAATACTGTGCGATTCTTTGGCAAGCTGCCAGCAGGCGGGACACCACTCTGACAGCCTATGTTTGTTGATGCCATTCTTAGGGTCTTAGTGGGGTTGCCTCCAACTTGAGTGGTGAACTTTCACGGCAAACTTTTGGGGGAAAGTTTCCTTCCATTCGTATCAGCTGGTTTTCTTCGCAAGCAGTTTTTCAGCCATGTTTAGCAATCCATGCAAAGCAAGGTTAGATTGAAAGCAAGACAAGAGTTCAATCCTGCTGGAGGACGTATGGCGATTGTCCGAAGCCCAGGTTCCAGCTGGTGGTACTGTCAGGCAATCACACCTGGTCCTGGTCTTTTGTCATTGGATTTTCAATGGCTTTCTAGGCAGCTGTGCCGAACTGTTCTCCTTCACGTCTGCCGAATCGTTTGTCGCTTCTCATCGCTTCCCTTTCGGTCCGCGTACCACGGAGAAAACGTGTGAGACCCTCGCAGAACTTTCAGGCTTTACCATCAGCACCGAGGGAACTTCCCAGAGTGAGGCTTTGCCCTAACTCGGTCAAGGCGAACTTTTCTCGAGTGCAGTGGAACATGGCGGCAAGAACTACGTAGCCGGACTCCTTTTTGGACAGGTGAAATACCTTACATCATTCAGCTGTGGCATGGATCACAAGAATCCTTGCCCCTTCTAGGCTGCCAGCTTCAATGACGGCCCGCAGATACCCATGAGAATGCTGCCATTGGGAATGGCAACTTGGCAGCTGAGCAGAGCTGGTAATTGAACTTTGCTTCAAGTCTTCCTCACTTGGTAGCTGCAACTGTAGCTGCTTCCGATGTATGACCTGTGTTTTTTAAGTTGGTGCAGTGTGATGATGATGCGAAGCGGGTGTTCAGTTTGCGTACGTCTAAGTCTGTTGCCGCCTTCATGGGAGCTTCCAGCAGCCGCCAAAAGCCAAGCTGGGCCAAGCGCTCCTTACGCACTGTGGTCAAGGCAGTTGCCAGTTGCACTGTTTAAAATGCTCCAGGAACCATGTCAAGTCCTAAATTCATTACACATATCTTATGATAGATAACAATGATTGGCTTTTCCAAAACTTTGGTACAAGAAGCACTTGCTGCAGAACTGAGATCTAGCAGATCTACCGGCTAACAGCTTTCAGGACGTGTGCAAACTGTGTATATATATAATATAGTGTATATATATATATATCATCCTCCCTCCAAGACTAACCTAGATAAGATGTCATGGGTATTTACAGTGTTTTCACACAATTGTTGACATAAGTTTTTACATACGTTTTGTCGACACTAATTGGCTGAGAATAGGGGCAGGTGCATAACAACTATTAACAAATGTGTATATGTAGTGATCATATCCACACGGTGCAAAATTCACCTTATCCTGTGTATATCTATGTATGTACATGTGTGGAATTTAGTGATGGATATTAAAGCTTCTTTCTGCATTTGTCTTCATATTATTTCTTATCTTGAGGTTGCCACCGTTTCATTTGTCAGGTGAACATAGGTTGACTAAACGAAAAACAACTCATTCATTATGTTTTTGCTGACATTAAATGTTCATAAATCTATGTCATTACCAGTAAAAACAAGAACCACAGACAAGAAAGAAAAGGTGTGAATGGAATAATGAAAGAACAGATGACAAACATTACTGTAATTCAAATTACAAGAAAATAACCAAACATTACAAACATGCTAGCAAATCCAGGAGCGAACAAAGGGAAAGACTGAACAAACTTGTGTTCAATACTTTTCAAAGGAGCCATCCCCCATGTTTCATAGCTAATCACGGTTCATATAATTTTAGGTTGTTTTCTTCTACGTTGCTCTGCCCACTTTCAGACTACCTCTCGAGGCATGAAGCGTGCACCTCAAGGGCTGTGCACTCTTACGCATCTTCAAATCAAAACAGGAGAAAAATTGGAGGACCATCAAAATCGGTTGCTTTCCTTTTCCAGGTTGTTAACCAAAAGCTTTTTTGGCATCAGTTGCTGGTTTTTCCAAAGAAACGCGATCGCGAAGAACGCGATCGTGCTCATCCGATCTATTTAATCTGGCCGCCAAGCATCCAGGGGCCTTTACGAGCAGAATGGGAAAGCAACCTATAAAAGGGGAATCATGAAAGCTTTCTAAGGTCTTCTAGGTTGTTTCTGCAAGAATAGGACCTGGAGTCTGGAGTAGCTAAGAAACTACCTCCCAGAAACTACCTCCTACGCGATCCCGAAGAAACTTGCCTGTTCATCCTTTTGAACATTTGCTAGTAGTTTTGCTGTGTGTTATTGTGTGTTCATATTGCTTTTGGATTAACGACATGACTGCCAAAAAAACACGACGTGGTAGATCAAACATGTGAATGATCTTGTTCAATCATGTTCTCTATAGAACTGCAATTTATATATATATAGATTCGAACGATGGATGATAAAGACGAAGCGATTCTATGTGGTAATCAAGGAGTCTTTACTTGGACGCAAATTGAACATCAATAGTTTTAAAAACGGGATTTGACAAAGCTTGTGTGTTTGAAACGGATTTTGAAGGGTGTTTAATTGACATCATTAAGGAACGATATGTTCACTGATTGTCATCAGATGTTCAAGGGATTATGATTCGAACCCGCTTACCAACCACGAGGTTCTATATATATACGTACATATTCTACTGTATATGTATTTATGTGCAAACACCGCCCAAAGCATTTTAAACAGGTGTCAATTGCAAATCAATATCAATATGAAATCATGTTTTTGAAGGACTATCAATTTGAAGAAAATGACACGCACTAGGTCACTAGGTTGATTAGTTATACTATATATAACAATACATTACACATCAATAGTTTGCATTTTTTGAATGATGTTCAATCAGATTGTACTTGAGCATCAATAGTTTGATTGTTATGTACCAAAATATATTGCTTGATTTGATTATTGCAAACCAATATTTCAATTGAGTTTAATACATGGTTTAAAGAAACGTTGCTTGAAAATAGCTCTAAAGGCAATATTTGAATTAACATTGCAAAGTATGTTAACAGAAAGTTTGTGCGGTATGTGGGTGAATTTTTCGAAAAGCAAAAACCTACGCAAACATGTCTTGAACACAATTTGAATGCTCGTTCTATTTACTGTATTAAAAAAATAAACATGTTCATGCAGAACAGTTTACACATCAGCAAGTGTATATACACAGTACCACTTTGTGCGGCCATGTGGAGTGTATTTGTTGGGAAGATACATGTCTTTTGGATACACCCAGCATTACTTGTTCATCAATGTGTGAGGCACTACTACTACTACTCCTCCTGCTGCTGCTGCTGCTGCTCCTACTCCTACTCCTACTCCTACTACTACTACTACTACTACTACTACTACTACTACTACTACTACCTACTAACTACTAACTACTAACCACTAACCACTAACCACTAATAACTACCTACTACCTACTAACTACTAACTACGACTACTACTAACTACGACTACGACTACGACTACGACTACGACTACTACTACTACTACTACTACTACTACTACTACTACTACTACTAC